CTCCCCACATCCCCCTCCCCCTCCCCCGAAACCATATTCTTAAATTAAACTTTAGCTGATATATGTATGAAAATAAATTGCGTTGTCTTGAAAAATGTGGTGTGTTTATTGTATTTTCCTTATTTCAAATATTGCCTTATTTTGCGAGCTTCCAAAAACGTCTGTTACAACGTTTTCTTGACTTTAAACCGCTGAAAACAAATCAGCTGAAATACTATGGAAACTTCTATTTATTACGAGTTGCCTCCCGTTGAACAACCAGCTTAGTAAATGTTTAGTAATGCTGTAGGCAAACGTTCTTGTTTTAGTATAAGCTAATACTTACAACTCGTGTGTCTTATATTTGCCATATTCGAGAAATATATTTGGTATTACTGAAAACACTGTTAGATATCCACTATATATCCTATATACCAGCTTTTTATTTACTCTGTTTCTAACATCAACCAGCTCTTGTAAGTAAGTATTGATGCGGACGGTGTCGTATTGTGTGTTAAAATCAGACCACTATTTCCAGAGATTTTGATAGTTTGATCACCATATGTAACTCTGTCAGCCAGGACAGTGTAACACCTATCATTTTTTTACTCCTGCTGGGTTGTTTGAAGATTTAAAACGATTTTACTAATCTAGTGTTCAGAGTCGGTTGGTCAAGTTAAAAACAAGAGAATACCGAAGTGTCCACAATTCGAACCAAAAATCGATAAAATTAGGGCAAAATATGAACAAAAAAAAAAGATTTACATGAATACCGTAGATAAAGTACAAGGAGAAAAGGACCAGGTGTTACAGAAAGGTAAGCGTCTTCTGATTTAAATGGAGACATAGCCAGGTATACGGAATACACCTCCCCTATAGATAGACAGGTATTAATGAACTTGTAAGTCACTCTTTTCCAAGCTTTCGGGCTTAGCCCTTCTTCAGGGATTAAATGTCACTGGACCTCTATGTCACATCCATCTTGACAAACATGTTGAATAACTATGACGTTGATGTTGATGACGTCATAACATTGTTACCATGACGTCAACACAACACAATGAATTCATCAAACCATGACCTCACAAATTGTGACGTTATCATCATCACTTGGTATTGATACCATTGGGGAAAGCAGTGTTGAGTTTGTTAATCCAAAATCCCTCAATAACAAGCCTTGCTACTTTGGATTCCTCCTTAACCCTTTTCAGTACGCACACCCGCAAGTCCGATATAGAATGACCTCTTCCAAGAAATTGATGTGCCACCGGTTTGTCTCTATTCAGCCGAGTGTCTGCCACATGTTCCTTTATCCTTTCCTTAAGTGTAAGCTCCGTCTCTCCCACATATACATCTCAAACATGATAAACAATATACAACATTTCGGGTTTTGCAGGACTGCCCATCTAGTGGCATATATGTAGACCGGTAAGATGTATCAGTAGTTGTTTCTATAAGTCTATCACACACATCACAGTCGGACGTACACTTATTCTTTGTTATCCGGAAACAGCGCTTCAACTTTACATGCACCAATATGTCTGCTATGTTTTTGTCTCTCATGTAGCTGACAACTGGTAAGTCCTTGAAGACAGCTTTCATTCTTTCTGACTTGTGCAGTAATCTCATATGTCTCCGTAGAATTTCATTGACGTCTGGCAGCTGCTTAGAATACGTGACTACTAGTGGGACCCTCTGTATCTTACCCTTATTGCAGTTCCGGTATCGAAGGAGGTCCTCTCTATTCATCTTGTCCACCTTTTGAAATTGGCTCTCAATAACCTTTCCCGAATATCCTCTTTTCCTTAACACCGACTTAAGATTTGTTCTGTTTTTAATGTAGTCGTCTTCTTGTTGACAGATTCGCTTTAATCGAATACCCAGCTCATATGGTATCGATCTCTTCATCCGTGATGGATGGGCAGAATTATAGAGAAGATATAGTTGTTTGTCAGTCGGTTTCCTGTACAGATCTGTTACAAGCATCCCGTCCTCTACTCTTACACTGGTGTCCAGGAACTCTATCTCTCGCTCACTGTATCGCAGGTCGATCTTGATGCTCCTGTTGTTTGTTGTTTGCAAAATTAGCGAACTCTTCCAGCTTGTCAACATCTTGTGGATATCTAACAGTGTCTACAGTAATACCAAATATATATCTCGAATATGGCAAATATTAGCCACACGAGTTGTAACTATTAGCTTATACTAAAACAAGAACGTTTGCCTACAACATTACTAAACATTTACAAAGCTGGTTGTTCAACGGGAGGCAACTCGTAATAAATAGAAGTTTCCATAGTATTTCAGCTGATTCTTTTGCATTTAACGTCGCCATATCAATCTCGTTGTGCAATTTGGCGAAATGTCTCTATGAATTTTGACAACTAATTCAGTGGATAATTACAGGTAGATAATTACACTTCTAACGTCAGGCTAAGGAGAACAATACACATTCTTACTACTGCATAAAAAGAAGCTGTCGCCAAGGTGACCTAATCACCCTTTATATTTTATTTTGGGTGTTGAAATATGCGGCAAAGACAATTATATTGACAATAATGTGTATATTTGTCAGCACTCAATGTGACGTAACTGAAACAGAATGAAGCTATACACAAGCAGAGGTAACAGGGGGGCAGCACACAAATAAAACAATTCAATGTAATTAGTAGTACATAGTAATGTCTGTACTTAAAACTGTATCTAGTCATCCATGTTAATGTAGTCCACAGTAGATGAGCAATTAAAAGTAATACATGACAAAGTGTCAGCTGTTACAATAGTGTATGTCCACATTACAATCACATCCTGTCAGCTGATCATTTCGACAGATCGTCGGCATACACTCTTCATCTTGATAAACTATACATCTGGATAAACACGACATCCGAATACACACGACATTTTGATACACCAAACATTTGGATACACCCGAAATCCGGATACACCCAACATCTGGATACAACCGACATCCGGATAAAACCGACATCCTGATAAAACCGAGATCCGGATACATCCGACATCTGGATAAACCCAAAATCTTGATAAACCCAACATCCGGATACATCCTATATCTGGATGCACCCGACATTTTGATACATCTGACATCCGGATATACACGTCGTCTGGCTATACACGACATCCGGAATACACCCAACACCTGCATACAACAAACATTCGGATACACCCTACATCTGGATAAATCTCACATCTGGATACATCTCACATCTGGATACTTCTCACATCTGGATTCTCTCAAATCTGGATACATTTCACATCTGGATACATCTCACATCTGGATACATCTCACATCTGGATACACCTCACATCTGGATACTTCTCACATCTGGATTCACCTTACATCTGAATACTTCTCACATCTAGATACTTCTCACATCTGGATACTTCTCACATCTGGATACATCTTACATCTGGATACACCTTACATTTAGATACTTCTCATATCTGGATACTTCTAACATCTGGATACTTCTTACATTTGGATACACCCTACATGTGGACTCACCAAACATACAGATACACCTGACAACTAGATACATACCACATCCGGATACACCCAACATCCGGATAAATGAGTTTGATGTCTCCATAATCAAAATTGTAAAGTTTACTACAGTTGTGGGATCGCACAACGTTACACGATGTGCGGTGTGTGCACGATGTGTGAACGGTGTGTGAACGATGCGTGCACGAAGTGCGAACGATAAAAAATTGGACGATCATTGCTTGCGCACATTTGTGCGGACGATCGACGAACGTTGTGCGATGTTTCTATATTCAAGCTACATCTATAAGCTTATCTTTCTGTCTATGCTTTCTTAAATATAGAAATGATGTTTTCGGTTTGTCGACCTTATTCGACACATGTAAAATTACAACACAGTCTCGGCAACACAGGTAAACATAGCCACTTTGTACCTGGACAGTAGTTTTCCCCCGCCCGGGGCACTTACGTAACTCGCCAAAGTGTGAAAACCAGGTGAAGGGGAGCTATAAACCAAAACGAATGCAAATAACAAATATAAAACGTCAAGCCGTGTTTTCATAACGGTCATACGTTATCACGTGTCAGGAAAAGGCCAGGTAAAACTCAAATTGTTATTTACCTGTTCTGTTACGAGGAACCAAACCCATTCTTGACAGTCTAACGGTCACTGTATACTGTGTTACACGCATTGAAAAATTGTACATAATCTTAATTATTGTGATGAGCAATTACAGTAATATATACAGTGTACATAATTGCAAACGAGCCTTCCTTATTTCTTTCATTCCGTAATATTGATCAACAAGTTGTACCAAATCGCACAGTTGTGCGGAGAGAAGCGCACAACGGGGCGAACGATTGTTAAATCGCACGTACAGTTGTGCGCACCATGTGTGGACGATGTGCGGAGGTGTGTGAACGATGTATGCACGATGTGCGCACGGTATTTTTGGTGCGTTGTGCGGTCACACAACTGTACCGTGGATTCCCGTTTGATTAATGTGGTCATATTTATTTTATGAGCCTGGAGGACGGTGGCGTATTGTGTATTACAATCAGACCATGTTTTGCACTGCTTCCAGAGATTCTGATCTTTTGATCACCATATGCAACTCTGTGGAGCCAAGACATTGTAGCAACTATCTCAGCATAGTGTATTTTAATTTTACTGGGTTGTTTGGCGATTTTAATCAGTTTTGCTAATCTAGTCTTCAGAGACGGTTTGTCAAGCTAAAAAACCGAGGGGATACCGAAGTGTCATTAAAACCACTATTCGAGCTCAAACACGATAAAGTTTAAAGATTGTATGTTTACATAGATATCATAGACAAAGCACATGGATAATAAGACCAGGTGTTCGGGAATGGTAAGCGTCGTCTGTTTCAACGGTGACACCAACATGTAAATCCAAGCAATTGCACGTCCTCACAATGAGAACTCCTCCTGAAATGACAAAACCACAAGGCACTCCACTTTAGTGAGCATAGTAAAAAAACGTCGATCTTCATAACACACATAGCAAAATAAGTCATTTATTGAGATCAAACACTTAATATCATTTTGCACCATTATTTACTGAATATCATGAGATGTAGCCTCTTGATTATTCAGAAAACAAAATGCTAAAAGATTTCTCGTTTGAAAAAAATGATTGTCCTTCATCACAGTATGCTACTATCCCATCGTATTACCCTTTATTTCGTTCATATAAAAATCATTCGTTTGATTTAACACATTTGAACCCTGTGGCCCTGAATATAGGTGAAAGTTATTAATTAGAACTAAGTTTATGGTCTTCCATCAAAGCATGTTATTGGCCAAATTGCATAACCTTTGACGTTTTGCTTATTCTGAAAAAACCCACTGTACAAACACTTTAATAGTTTTGACCCTTTTGACCTTTGAAGAGGTTCAATGCCACTCATTTAAACAAACTTTGTCAGCATGCTACTGTCCAATCATTACAATTCGAATCCTCCTTTAAGATTTGTATTTAATCAACTCGATAGCTCTTCATACTAACCTGCTTCTTACCACGTATCACCACCCTATGTATCTTAGGTTATATTGGAAAGTTCATTTAAACGTTTAAACACATTTGTCCATTGTGACCTTAAAGTAGCGCAAAGTCATTTTACAGTTGTGTGATTTCACAATGCTGCAAGATTATCTTGCGCACAACATGCATTCATCGTGCCCAAAGCGGTGGCACATACATAGTGTGCACAACTGGCTGAATTTACAATCGATCGCCCTGTTGTTCGATAGAAAGCGCACATATGTGTGATAAGGAATCTAAATTCTAAATTTTCAATGCATGTTACAATGCAAATATCTAAATCTGGTAATTATGTGGCCGTAGTGTCCGGTACAGTACTAGTACACGTATATGTGATTTAACAGTTATCAAAACACAATTGATCTTACCTGAGTTAATTTAAATGTGTCTGTTACACTTGGTTCACAAGTTGATTAGAGATACAAAAGTCTACCCATTGACTTGTAAATAACAGGTAACTGATAACAGGTAAGATTGCTGTTTAACACTACATCAGCGTGTGCAGTACGTCGTACATATATAGGACCGTTTATCTACACACTTATCGATTTCGGAAAAATGTTGGCCTGTTATATGTCCATTGCGGTTAGATAAACAAATAACCACGTAAATATGGCAAAAATATGCAGCATGCATAAATAAGGAAAGATATAAGTATAAATTCGAAATTTATCCATAGACCATTCCGTAACGCATATCAACCACGATACCTATCGTACAACCGTGCGAACGCTATCCTCATAAAATTTGTCGTTTGTTTTCTCCAAGATTTGGTTTCTTAAAATTCTTAAAATTAATGTTCTTGATGGTGAAAGTAACCACGTTTTTCTTGTTTGTTAAGATGTCCTGATAGTTGAGTAGAAATAATTCCAGTTTAGAATTCCTTTGATATGGAAGTAAATGATCAGAGTTATATATGCAATTTGTGTATTCGCTGCCCATCCGTCCTGACAAGAACTGAATTTGATCTGAATTTTCAACACAACACTTTAGATAACAATGTTTCAGATCTGTTCAAATAGTCTGGCTGGGCCTCTGAGGGTTCAAAAAGAGGCCGAACATTTTGGTGTTTTCAGAAAAGTTGACATTTAGAAAAAGTCTTCTTTTCTAATAAGCAATGGGATTAAGACCTTATTGTTGGCAATTTGTAAAATGTTAAGTTTGTTGACAATTCTGAGAACTTAAGGATCCTTGTGCCACTGTAGGCAAAACACAAGAGCATGTCATTGTAATTATTGGGATTTATTAATATTTCCGCTGCAATTTCTTTTATAAGTATTACTAGAAGAAATTTCGTTCGAAGGATTATGATCGCAAATTGATCAGCGTCGTTTTCAATCTTTTCCTTCCGCCTCGGATAACATAAGACCACGTCAGAAGCAAACATTTCGATAACATTTTTCAGAAATTGTTGATGCACTAATGACACAAACACTTCAATATCGAAAATATAAGGGAATCCCTATATTTGGATCATTAGTAACTATAAAATTTGGAATGGAAATATTGGGATTGAACGGCATTTTCAATATTCATGGCGGTATGAACAAAAATCGATTACACACAAATTCAATAAATCCTGCTAGGCGTGATCATTCAATATTTATATACCGTAGTCCCCCTCTGTAATTTGTTAATAACTGCAGCGTAGTTGAGCTAGGCAATTTCTTGTCCAAGTAGACAAGTTTATTAGAGCGACAGTAAAATGAAATAGGATATGCATGAATGGAATCCCGGTCTTGCCGTGTTTTACAGCAAGGACACTATCAATGTTTCTTTTTAGGCATTTAAGGTACTATCAACAGCTAAAATAATTTAAGGACGCAATTGTCTTATTTTGAAAGCTATATTTATGTCGAAAAAAGTTGCCTATGAAATGTGACAGATTTTTGACCAGTGGTACGGGGAACCCTAAACAAACCCCTCTCCCAAACATTGATCAGACTTAGATATCGAGAAAATGTACATAAGACACACATAACACACAACAGGGAAGTTTGACTAAATCTTGAATTCAAATCAATAAATGGCCTGATACCATATGAAACCTTACCTCTCTGACCTTGTAGATAAAACCACATATTTTCCCGCTGAGTAGAACACTACAGGATCTAGCGTTGGATCAGAAACGACAATTTCTGTGATCGACAACTTTTAGCGATCAGGAAGTATATCTACCCAGATATTCATTTATGATTGACAGACAAAAATTGTGCTACGTGGTGACAAACATAATCTGCTATGAGGAATGTGTGGATCTCATGTATTACTGTTCACTGTGTTGTGGACAACCTGACATTAAACACAAGGTGAGTGACTACATGTGATTAGTTCTGTGACATTTTCAAATATATTTTACACTATGATTACCAACACAGGAAATGCGGAACTAATGCTGCTTACAACAGGATTAAGTGAACAATACAGAATTTTTTCCCGACTGTGGAAATGATTTTGTGATTGAATAGACAACAGACATTCTAATATTCAAAGAGATAACAGATTCAAAATGGCTACGTCCGAATCCAAAGGACAGATTCCTTTCCGTTCCACAGGTCAAACTACATGTATTCATCACAAGGGCAGACAACTTGACCTTTACTGCGAAAAATGCCAAGAACCAGCTTGTACCAAATGCCTGTCTACTGTACATAGGAGTCATACAGTTTGCGACCTTAGTGAAATTACTCCCCAAAAGAAAGAAGACATTCAAAAATTCGTAGACAACACTGAGAATGTTGACCTTGTACAAATTAACCAACTCATCATCTCTACTGACACGCAACTAAAGGACAATGTCAGTCATTTTGAAAAGCTTTCACACCAGTTGAGGATACAAACAAATAAAATAAAAGAAGATCTTGACCAGTTAACAGATCGGAGCCTGTCTCTCTTTCAACAAATGGAGCAGGATAACAACAAGTTACTACAAACCTACAAACAGGACCTCGAAATATACAGCACTCGGCTAAAACAACAAGTGCAAGAATGTAAGATAGCCCTTCAGCGTGGCTCTGACATACAAATCTACGACACAGAATGCGAAATGCAATCTTCAGTCACTCACCCTGTAAAACCTGATCTGAGTAAAGCTAGCTTTACTCCAAACAAAAATCCTCAAGGTTACATGGAGCAAGCTTTGGGAGAGGTAAACACCTCATATGAAGGTCAGGGTCAAGCCTTGCTAGATCATGATCTGGCGGTTCGATCAGCTGATATACAATGCTTATCCCCTACACAAGAGACGACAGAAAGCAACGGAAGGACATCCTCTACTAAAGAGCAGACAGAACGAAAGATTAAGATATCACCTACGCAACGAAAGTCCACAAGAAAAAAGGACGTGACCAGTCTGTCGCCTCAGACAAAGGTGTTGGGGGAGTGGACGCCTTCATGTTGTATATCGTCTGTATGTCCCACCACTGACGGGCAGGTATGGATTAGTGATGGTATCACCTTAACTCTATCGAAAATGAAAGGCGAAGTAATACAGGAGGTTCAACACAATGCTGCGATCAGAGACATAAGTCTGTCACCAACAACCACCACACTGTGGGTCTGTGACTGCAAAAACAAGATCACAGAGCTCGTGTCAGGACGACTAGTACACAGATTCAGTACCAGGGAGTTATCACAGTGTATCTGTATTACAGCTAGTAACCATGTAATTGTGGGGATGGCCAAGCACATCTCAAAATTCTCAACAAAAGGTGTATTGGTGCATAATTCATTAGCTGAAGGGGCTGGAATGCCATTAGTATGTACACCACACAGTATATCAGAGTGTCCTCTCACCAACAATGTCGCAGTGACTTACCGGGATAGTATACATGATGTTGGTGAAGGGAAATCATATGTTGTTGTCATGGACACATATTTCAAGAAACTTTTTGTATATGATGGTGAAGTCCCACATACACGTCAACCAACATCACAGTCAGGATGTGCACCATTTAACCCCCGGGGTGTGGTGTATGATAGTGTGGGTAACCTAGTCATAGGGGACTGTAACAACAACCGTATCCTACTCATATGTGGGCGTGGTGAGTTCATCAGGATCATACACACAGATGACTACTGGACACAGGCTGTTGGTGTAGACAGGGAGGATGTCCTATGGGCTGTGTTTGGGCTTAACAATGTCAAACTACTACAGTACAACAGTGCGCTGGACAAAAAACGATGCATTATCTTGTAACAATGCCACGGGAACTGCATGTGAGGATAATACAAAGCTGACTCGAACTGCAACCCCGGATATATATCATGGACCTGCAGAGTGATGCATTTTAACAGACATTATTTATCGAATTTGTTGGAAATTGTTAATGTTTAAAACATTATACCAGATATTGGAAATTCAAACCATAAACAAAAATACTCAACATTAGACATTGTCTGACTTTTCCCCCCGAGACCATGTTCTCAATATTCACAGGTAAATGTCTATGTTAGCTAAAATATATATGAAAATAAATTGTGCTGTCTTGAAAAATGTGGCGTGTTAATTGTGTTTTTGATTTTGAATATGGGTGTGTCAAAGACGTTATTTTAACAAGCTTAAAACCCTTTTATCTTTGTATGTAGTATGCTATATTTTCTTACCCCAAGTTTCATGCTTCCTTGGAAGAAGTTGTTGAAATGTTTAAAAAAAAGTCTGTGATAAACACTGTAGATTATTATTTGCGTGTGTGTCGGATTGTAGCTTCTCTACGTTATGTACCTTGGACTGCCTCGGGTGAGGAACAACCTCTCATGTACATCTACAGTGTCCAATATGTGTTCTAAATGTGTCGATTTAGTTTTCTATCGTTCTCACCGTGCATACATCGTTCGCACACATTGTGCACACGAACATCGAGTAAGATTATGTAAGCACATACTTGTCTATTTAAATGGAGTTGTTACTTATTTGAATGATAAAGAAATACCATGATTCCGTAGGCACGGGTTCTAGACCCCAAAGATCCCTATACTCGATATTTTTAAAAAAAAGAGATTTCGTTAAAAATCTATGTTAATAATCCTGGACTAGGGTGAGTGACTCTTTAAATTTGTACCTGCAATCTTTCAAACGTTGGGCACCAGCATGGTTGCCTGACTCCCTGGGATACCATTCTCGATAATTGTATGAAAATGAGATGTCATTCAAATTATATGTTAACGGTCCTGGCTTAGGCTGAATGCCTATATCAATTTTAATTAAACTCGATGTGAATGATCTTTGTTTTACCCCCTGTACGTGCAATGCTTTTAAATCATGGGCACCGGCACGGTTTTTAGACCCCTTGGGATCCTATACTCGACAATTGTCGAAGATGAGATTTCGTTCAAATTCTATTTTCATGGTCCTGGTTCAGGGTGATGCCTATCTCAATCTTAATTAATATATGTGTGAATATTATCACTGGCACCCCCTGTGCGTTCAACCTTTCAAAGTTGGGCACTCTTAAACTTTACCTTGCCCAAGAAATCAGACGTCAGAGTCTGTAAACATTTTGTTATTTGGTTTAACGTTTTGGTGGCATATCCTTCAAAATCAAGTCAGCAATGGCCCCATATACCTGACCGTACACCCACCACCATATTCCTTTCCTCGAATTCCACGAGTACGCTCTCCAAACTTCCTTGTATCCCCGGAATATGTCATGATAAAATCACAGACTCGATATGTACGCACAATCGTGAAGATTATACAAGAACGCTACATATATCTAGATTGATCCTTGAATGTACCGCGCGGCTGTGAAACGGTAAAATCAGCTAAGCGTTCGGTCAACCAAATAGCTAGCGTACTCTGCGCTTTTGATTTCGTCATGATATGTTCCAGGGTGAGCGTAGCCCTGGAATTTCGAGGATTCCTACTCTCATATTGGTATTTTTTAGTAACAGTGACCCTGACGTTGATCGTATAGTCATAGAAACGTTCTTAATCCTTTTGCACATCTACTAGTCACAGTGTATAACCAACCATGTAAAATATAAAAAATGAGTCTCTTGGATTCTGAGATAATTTCTGAAAATGCAAATAATGACGGACAGCTAGACAGAGGACAGACAGACGATAGGACAGACGGACATCGTAAAATTGTAGGGCATCAGCATCTCGAATGCGGAGGCCTATTTAAGTTGAAACACACGAATCCAATTGTTATAGAGCTACCATTAATCAGTACAATTTTAAAAGTCTTTCATAGATTATAACAAAACATTTACCTAATATTTACGGTTGTACATTGATCGGGTTTAACCAATATGCTAGTCCTATACTCAGAATTACGGAGATACACTAGTTCAGAGACAAACTCGTAAAATATTAAACTTTTATACCAAATATATAACGACTATCTTGATTAAGATTCGTCAGTTTTGAAATATGTGATATCAAATTTTTACTTTTTACACAAACAATGTACGTAATAAAACAGACCGACTGGTCCCTTTATCAAGCTATGACTGAGTGAGCGATTTGCATTTTTACCTGTTAAATGATGTGACGAAATTGTATATTTTGTATGTCACTGTTGTATGTCATTTTTTACATAACGACAAGTTTTAACTGAACCTAGTGCAAAACAGACGTCAGAGTTTCTCGACCAACCAAAATTCAATTTTATCCGACTTGTTCGCCTTACGTAAAGGCGGATTTATAACATACAAATGTTTCAAATATACAGTTGTAAAGAATACACCAATAAAATAAGATATTGTTTAGATTGAAGTACAACTTATTCCAGAAAGGAACAAATTTAAATCTATTACAATTTATGCATAATATTGGATTTAGATACGTACGGATTCTGATATTTAAACCGAACATAGCAAAGTGGAAATGGGTCCTGTACATTGTCCCAGTTTGATAAAGGACAACATCACGTATTAGGGGAGATATATTACATAGCGTAAACTGATCTATAGATATCCATGAACCTTTATATCTAATCCTGTATATATAATCACTTATGTTCTAATTCGTCCTCTAAAAAGAACAGACATTATGTATAATTGTCAGGAGCTGAACGCAAAATGCAACGAAAATGTCATACTGACTGTTGGAATAAGTCCTTATCAACTACGTTGTGGGGATATTTATACGATCAATGACCGAGAAATACAGGACTGTTATTAAACTCTTCAAATACTTATCGAAAAATGCACTTCATGACATGTGTCCTGTACATTGACCCAGTTTGATAAAGAACAACATCACGCATTAGGGGAGATATATTACATAGCGTAAACTGATCTATAGATATCCATGAACCTTTATATCTGATCCTGTATATATAATCACTTATGTTCTAGTTCACTCCTCTCAAAAGAACATACATTGATTATGATATAAATTAAAACTCACTACTGAAAATTATTCCTCCTACCTGTACGAGAACGAACATTGTGAAATCATTATTAAAATATTTACTAAAACAGAACGAAAAAGACGGTCCAGGGGCGTAGCTAACCCTTGTTATGAGAAGATTCATTTTGGAGCTGGTCCACGGGAGGGAAGGAGAATGGAAAAATAATATATGTCTTAGGGTCATTTTCCAGAGAGGAAATCGCAGGAATTAATTGCAAAATTTAGACATTCCATCATCAATCATGTTTTTAATTGTTTTATATCAGGATGCATAATTATCAAAGACACATTCAGTAAGCCACAAGCACACATACGCTGTTTTTTAGTTTGGTTTAAATATTTTGTAATCAAAAATTAGTTGTACAGGCTGCTAAGCGCCTAGACAAAGACACACGTTTTCTTTGCAAAAGGGGTGAGTGACTAGGTGGTGAAGTCCGTATCGTTTAACGGCTAGGCAACGCAATTATATTAATGTTTGTACAAAAACAAATCGAAATTACAGACACTACCTCCGAGTCTCGAATTTCACATTCCTCTCGTTCTTTACATCGATCTAGCTTTGATCTGTTGAAGAATGTCCATTGTGTGCTCATTTAAAAGTATTGTTTTCATTTACAGAATGACAAAGACACAGAAACATACATACTTTCCAAAAGGTGGCGGATTGGTGGTAAAATTCGTATCGAATTACGGCTCGGCAGACAATGACACCTGTATGTGTTATCACTGTCATAAGTCAACTATGGCACTCTAATGTGGACTTGCTCAAACACTCTTTTGCGAACTAATCATCAACCTATCTAAATTTCAGGTCAGGTATACCGAAACACAACCTACCACACAACGCAAAATGTCATCCTTTTTATCTTGTAACTACATGATCTACAAATATTAGCAGACAGAAAGTCTATCTTCACAGATATGAATTAAAAAATTTACAGAACGTTTGTTCTTTTGGTTATGATTCAAATACACTCTTTTGATGGAGGTGAGTATCTGAGGCATCAGTTTGCTGTATTGAGACAAAATAAACTGAATACAATTGTAGTGACTTTATCTGCTTTGTTCTATGACATTTTAAAATATATTCGACCACATAATTACTTGTACATGTACCAACACAGGAGATGTGGAACCAATGCTGCCAACAAAAGGATATAGTTATTACACAGGATTTAGCGAACAATTCAGGTTTCCTTTACAAATGATAAAAAAATTCCTTTTGACTGTTTTATTCAATATAAGTACCGATTAAATAGAAAATACTCCTTCCAATCTTTTATAGTTTTATTAGTTGAAGACACAGACAAAGAAATTAAAACACGATGTTGACCAACTCACAGCCAAGACTAAATATCTTTATCAACAAATGGAAGGGGGAAAAACGAGCTTCAACAAACATTAAAACAGGAAAATGAAACGTTCAGTACTCAGCTAAAAAGACAAGTACAGGAATGCTAGATAGTCCTTCAGTGTGGCCCTGACAAACAAATCTACGACATAGATTGTGAGATTCATTTTCCTGCCATACGTGCTGTAGAACCTTCCCTGGGTACTGCTAAATATGTAAAATGTTCGTATAGAACATTTGCTTAACCTGAGATGAGTTTTGAAAATTGAAACTTACTTTTATCACCATTTCTTATAACCTGAGAGGCCCTGACAGACGATTTCAAAAAGGTTAAATCTCGATATTGTGTGGCAAATAACATCAAATTCAGATTTTTGTCCAAGAGATATGGTCCAATACTGGTCAAATTGCAAATATATAAATGATCAATGGGTTCTAAACCTAGGGGGGGGGGGGGGATTTAATCGTTTCTTTCACAGTGGCTTATATCTTTACATTACACTCCGCCTTTTTAAGACGTACCAGCATATCAGATTTGATATTCCAATGTATAATCATGTGGGGATATGTTCCAGACAACACCTCGGACGGACTGCATTACCATATACCCACCTCCCATTTGCGGTGGGGGTTATAATGAATATATGTCACTGTTCTTTGAAAAATAGCTGATTGCTATTTGACATGCATCATCATAGTGATGAAACTAGCTCAAATCCCTAACAATGAATTACCTACATTTGATACACTGGTATAGTCACTCCTCAAGACAAACCCACATATAGGCAACTGTTGGACAACTAGTATAAATGCCACGGAGCTAAACGCAAATGTCAAATGGTGGAAGGAAAGACAAACATTTACGAATGCTCAACTTCATTGTTGGAACATGAAAGTACGACCAATAGCCCTGTCCAGGAAATACAGGAGTGTACCCAAACTTGTCATAAACTTTACGAAAAGCGCACTACATGACATATCTGTCCTGTATATTGTCCCAGTTTGATAAAGAACAACATCACACAGTAGTGACGTCATAACACGTAGTATACTGATGTATAAATATCCAGTACACGATGAACCCTTATCTCTGACCCTGTAGATAGCATCACACATACAAACATCAGTTGTCATATAAACTCAAATTCATTAATGCCAATCCATTTGCCTAGTAGTACATGTACGAGGACGCTCAAATTCATGTATGTATACACAAATAAATCGAAATTACGGACACTTCCTCCGAGTTCTGAACTTTACATTTCTCTCGGCCTTTACCTAGATTTAGCTTTAAACTATTGAAGAACGGCTATTGTGAGCTCATTTATAAGAGATTATGTAATTGCAGAATAAAAAAAGACACAAACGCATGTGTACTTCGTACAAGCGGCAGATGGGTGGTGAAGTCCGTATCGTTTAGGCAGACAATACCACTTGTATATGTCGTCACTGTCCTGAGTCCACGTATCGCACGTGAACTCTCACTGGACTTGCGCATAAACTCGTTAACAAAACCATGATAAACTTATCTACTGTTTGGCAAGGTATATAACTACATCATCTATCGGCTTATCGTTAAACGCCCATTTTCAGGTCGTATACTTAAGTGATCTAAAACAGCAGACAGAATGCAGACCTACTGAAGTGATTTTTTAGAATTGACATAAAACTCGTGCTTAACGTTGTTGCATAAATATACTGCTTTGATGGACCTTTGTATTGTTGTTCAATGTGTTGTGGACAATCTGACATTGAGAACAAGGTGAGTGACTACTTCATTGTCAAATATTTTTTCAATTCTACGACATAATCATCAACACAAGAAATATGGAACTAATGCTGCCAACAGCAGGAATAAATTAATACACAGGATTACGTGAACTGTCATTTGTATCCTTCCTGTGTGAAACTTTCAATAGTGGTTGTTTTCAAAAATTTCACAAAAGATAGGTTATACAACAAACTTTAGAATCTTCAACGCTTTTTCATCTTTCTATCAAAATGGCCACGTCCGAATTCAAAGGACAGATTCCTTTCCGTGCCACAGGTCAAACTACATGTATTCATCACAAGGACAGACAATTTGACATTTACTGCGAAAAATGCAAAGAACCAGCTTGTACGAAGTGCCTGTCTACTGTCCATAGGAGTCATACAGTGTGCGACCTTATTGAAATTACTTCTCAAAAGAAAGAAGACATTCAAAACTTCATAGACAAAACCGAAACTGTTGACCTTGAACAAATTAACCAACACATCACCTCTACTGACACACAAATAAAGGACAATGTCAGCATCTTTGAAAAACTTTCAATCGAGTTGCGGACACAAACAATTAAACTAAAAGGAGATCTTGACCAGTTAACAGCTCGGACTCTGTCTCTCTATCAGCAAATGGAGGAGGATAACGCCAAGCTACTTCAAACCTACAAACAGGACCTGGAAATGTACAGTACTCAGCTAAAACAACAAGTAAAGGAATGTAAGATAGCACTTCAGCGTGGCTCTGACATGCAAATCTACGACACAGTATGTGCTATTCAATATTCAGTCACTCTCCCCGTAAAACCTACCCTAGGTACTACTAGTTTCACTCCAAACCAAAATCCGCAGGGTGACCTGAAACAAGCTTTGGGAGAGGTAAACACCTCATATCAAGGTCGGGGTCAAGCCTCGCTAGATCATGACCTGTCAGTTGGATCAGCTGCTGTACAAGGCTCATCCCCTACACAAGAGAGGTCAGAACACATAAGAAAGACATACTCTACACAACAGCAGTCAGAACGAAAGGTTAGGATATCACCTACACAACATAAGTCCACAAGAAGAAAGGACGTGACCAGTCTGTTGCATCAGACCAATGTGTTAGGGGAGTGGACGCCTTCATGTATTATATCTTCTGTATGTCCCACCACTGAAGGACAGGTGTGGACTAGTGATGGTAGCATCTTAACTCTATTGAACAGGAAGGGCGAAGCAATACAGGAGGTTAAACACGATGATGTGATCAGAGACATAAGTCTGTCACCAACAACCACCACACTGTGGGTCTGTGACAGGAAAAACAACATCACTGAGCTCGTGTCGGGACGACTAGTATAACGATTCAGCACCAGAGAGTTACCACAGTGTATTTGTATAACAGCTAGTAACCATGTTATTGTAGGGATGGCCAAACAAATCTCAAAATTCATCACAAAAGGTACATTGGTATTTACTACATCGGCTGCAGGTACAGGGAAGTCTGTAATGTGTAGACCATACGGGGTCTCAGAGTGTCCTGTCACTCACAATGTCGCAGTGGCTGATGGGAGTAGTCTGCATGATGGTGGTGAAGGGAAACCACGTGTTGTTGTCATGGACGCAGATTTCAAAGAACTATTTGTATATGATGGTGAAGTCCCACATACATATCAGCCAACATCACAGTCAGGAAGTAAACGATTTACCCCCTGGGGTGTGGTGTATGACAGTGTGGGTAACTTAGTCATGGGGGACTGTAACAACAACAGTGTCCTACTCATCAGTGGTCATGGTGAGTTCCTCAGGGTCATACACACAGACAACAACATGCCAAGGGCTGTTGGTGTAGACAGGGAGGATGTCTTGTGGACAGTGTTTGAGGCTAACAATGTCAAACTAATACAGTACATCAGTGCGCTGGACAAACAACAATGCATTATCTTGTAACCATGACAACTGAAACTGCATGTTAGAATAATACAAAGATGACTTCAACCCCGGACATATATCATGGACCTACAGAGTGAATCAATCCAACAGACATTATATATCAAAATTATTGAAAATCGTTAAAATCTAATAACGAACTAAAAAAAATAAAAGGATAATGAAATAAAATAACCATCTCATCAAATCATAAACAAATAATATTTGGAATAACAAATAATGTTTGATAATAGTATTGAAGATAATTGGGGATTTTTTTTTATCAATTTTAGACATTATTTGACTTTTCCCTCGAGACCATATTCTCAATATTCAGTAGTCAATGTCTGTTTTAGCTTAAACATATATGAAAATAAATTGTGCTGTCTTGCAAAATGTGGTGTGTTATTGAATTTTCTCATTTCAAATAAGGGTCAAGGTCGTTATTTCAACAAGCATGAAAACCCTTTATGTCAGCATGCGTTATGCTATAAATTCTAACCCAAGGTTTCATGGTTCGTTGGAAGAAGATGTTAAAATGTCAAAACAAAGTCATTGACTATCATTGTAGAGATTATGCCAATAGTCTAATGCTTGGAAAATACGGAAGGCCAGTCCGGGACATAGTTAACGCCCAGTGACTAATACTTGATAAATATGGTAGGCCAGTCCGGGACATAGTTAACGCCCAATGACTAATACTTAATAAATATGGTAGGTCAGTCCGGGACATAGTTAACGCCCAATGACTAATACTTGATCAATACGGTGGGCCACTTCGGGACATTGTTAACGCCCAATGACTAATACTTGATAAATACGGTAGGCCACTTCGGGACATAGTTAACGCCCAATGACTAATCCTTGATAAATATGGTAGGCCAGTCCGGGACATAGTTAACGCCCAATGACTAATACTTAATCAATACGGTAGGCCACTTCGGGACATAGTTAACGCCCAGTGACTAATACTTGATCAATACGGTAGGCCACTTCGGGACATAGTTAACGCCCAGTGACTAATACGTGATAAATATGGTAGGCCAGTCCGGGCCATAGTTAACGCCAAGTGACTAAGACTTGATAAATACGGTAGGACTGTCCGGGACATAGTTAATTCCCAATGACTAATACTTGATCAATACGGTAGGCCAGTCCGGACCATAGTTAACGCCAAGTGACTCATACTTGATAAATACGGTAGGCCAGCCCGGGACATAGTGAACGCCCAATGACTAATACCTGATAAATATGGTAGGCCAGTTTGGGACATAGTTAACGTCCAATGACTTATACTTGATAAATATGGTATGCCAGTCCGGGACATAGTTAACGCCGAATGACTTATACTTGATAAATACGGTAGGACAGACCGGGACATAGTTAACGCACAATGAATAATACTTGATAAATACGGAAGGCCAGTCCGGGACATTGTTAACGCCCAATGACTAATACTCGATAAATATGGTAGGCCTGGCCGGGACATAGTTAACGCCCAGTGCCTAATACTTGATCAATACGAAAGGCCAGTCCGGGACATAGTTAAAGCCCAATGACTAATACTTGATAAATATGTTAGGCCAGTCCGGACCATAGTTAACGCCAAGTGACTAATACTTGATAAATACGGTAGGCCAGTCCGGGACATAGTTAACGCCCAATGACTAATACTTGATAAATATGATAGGCCTGTCCGGGACATAGTTAACGCCCAATGACTAATACTTGATCAATACGGTAGGCCAGTCCGGGACATAGTTAACGCCCAATGACTAATACTTGATAAATATGGTAGGCCAGTCCGGGACATTGTTAACGCCCAATGACTAATACTTGATAAATACGGTAGGCCAGTCCGGGACATAGTTAACGCCCAGTGACTAATACTTGATAAATATGGTAGGCCTGTCCAGGACATAGTTAACGCCCAATGACTAATACTTGATAAATATGGTAGGCCTGTCCGGGACATATCTCATTTACTCTGTCATTTACAAAGGACTAATTTTGTAGTTGAGTATCGATTGGGATGGCGAAGTTTAACGTACTTAACTAAATCATGTCAATCGTTTTTGACCTACTTTTCATATATAACAATGCCCAGCACAGACACTGTAGTTACCACCAGGGGACATTTTATTCTCCACTTTGGTTGTAAGTGTTAGGTGGACAGGCAAAACAAAAATCTTTAAACGATATCCAAGTCTCATTTCATTGAATAACATGATAGCAAATAATGTCATATGCTGAATTACTGCTTTGTATCAATATCTAGCATTCCAACCTAGAGGAATGGCTTTTACAAATTCGGAAATTGAAGATATTTTGAAATCGCTGCCAACTGGCAAAGCGGCGGAAAATGACAAAATAAGACATCGGCTAGTGAAATTCATGTCAGAGTCTGTAAATAACCCGTTAATTGATTTTACTCTATGTGGCTACATTTCCGAAAAGGTTTTTCACATCTCTACAAAGGCAGGTCAGCAAGGGCCCGGGCCGCCAAGTACCCGACCGCACTCCCTTCTTCGAATTTCAGGGCTCACGTTGTCCTACCTTCTTTGTACCCCCTGAATATATCATGAAAAACTCGCAAACTCGATCTGTTCGCACTATCGTATAGATTATACAAGCAGCCTTATTTGAACCTTTGGTGTACAGCAAAAGAATCGCGCGGCTGTGTAACGATAAAATTAGCCTAGCGATCGGTCAATCAAATAGCTAACACAGTCCATTCGATTTTGTCATGATATGTACGATGGTAAGCGTAGCCCTAGAATTTCGAGGATTCCCTCTCTCCTCATTTTAGTATTTTATATAGTCTTAGAAACTTTCTTAATCATTTTGCACATCTACATAACACAGTGTGTTATGTGTGTCATGTCAAATTTCCAAAAAGATATATATCTTTTGTATTCTGAAATAATCTCCGAAAATGAAAGTGCTGATGGACAGCTAGATAGAAGACATACAGACGGAAGGACAGACGGACACCGTTATTATTGTAGGGCATCAGCATCTCCAACGCGGAGCCCTTTAACTGGTGACACTCACGACTCCAGTAGTTATAGACCTACCATTAATCAGTACAATTTGAAAATTCTTTAGTAGGTTAATTTTACTACTTTTCACTGCTGTAAAAAATCCATCCAGTCCGCTTAGAAACATATTTATATCGACCGGTTTACTCCCATATGCTAGCCCTATACTCAGAAACAGGACGGTAGACTCTAGCTCGGAGACTCACAAGTAAAGTGTCCTTTTTTTCGATCAACAATATATAGCAACTGGTATCTATCCTATCAAACAGGTCTATTCCCCCTTATGTAGAGAATAGATCAAATTACAATGTGAGGTAAGCAATAAACTGTATTACGTATTTTCCGTTACATTTAGCAAAAGTGTACGTTTATTGAAAAAAAAATCAATACATTGAAAAAATGCCGCCCATTAGTCACTCTATTATAGACTTGCATAAGTTGGCATGTCCTTCCCTCTGTGCTATTAAACTTTGGAACATAATTGGCGATACCCATCCTCCATACTCCAGGGGTTACGCTCACTTTCGCTCTCTGCACCCCTTGCATAACCCACGTACGACGAACAGGAGGAGCCATTGGTGCAAAGGTCGCCTTTACAGAGAACATGCCTTTCAGGTCAAAGAAAGAACTCTTCCTTGCCAATGCCGAAAACAAACAAAACTTCCTAAACATGTTGAGCGAAAAACTAGAACTTAGTGGATGCCGGACAGTTCACGCGATAGGCGATGCCGATGTATTAATCGTGCAAACAGCTGTGGAGAGCGCCCGTGACATCGCTACAGTGTTGATAGGTGAGGACACGGATCTTCTTGTGTTGTTGCTGTTCCATTCTGATCTGGACGCCAATGACATTTTCTTCCAATCTGTACAATCAGGAACTAAGAAAATGAAGATATGGGACATCAACAAAACGAAGAAAATCCTTGGACCCAGCACGTGTGCCCTCATGCCATTTGTACATGCCATTACAGGATGTGACACCACGTCTCGAATCTTTGGCATCGGAAAAGGAGCCCCATTGAAAAAGGTGCAAGGTGACTCTTACTTCCAAGAACTGGCTGGTGTGTTTTGTAGGAAGGCGTCGCACGAGGACGTTGTAGCAGCAGGGGAAAAAGTAATTGTAGCACTATACAACGGCGAGCACACCGACGGACTGGACACACTTCGGTACAAGAAATTCTCCAACAAAGTCATGTTGAGCACAACTTGTGTACAGGTGCATACATTGCCACCGACAACTGCTGCTGCTGCTAATCACAGCAAACGAATCTATCTGCAGGTACAGCAGTGGATACGACCAGCCGAGCATTTGTCACCGTGTGAATGGGGATGGTATATCGCCAATGATAGACTGCTTCCTATGAGGACCCACCTACCACCAGCACCGGAACTGCTTTTAAAAGTTATCCGGTGCAATTGTAAAACAAACTGCGACTCAAAGCGATGCAGCTGTAGAAAGCATGGATTGGAATGTACCCCATGTTGTGGTGAATGCAAGGGTGTCAGTTGTTCGAACGGCCAAATCCTTATTGTGGAAAGTGACTTGAAAGACGAATCGTGATAACAAACTCGTCTGAGCTAGTAGATAATGTGTCGTGTCATAAACTTTGTGAACTACGAACAGACTAATACATGTATGCTGGATGACGTTTTCTAATAATACCGTAACAACATAACGTTTTAGTTGTCCCACTCGTCAAAGCGATGCAGATGTATATGTTTAGGAATGAGCAACATGTTGTGGCAAATGGTCGTCAGGTTTTCTATAAGTCGATCATACCATGAAGACACTTGCAATAATAAAACACATAAAACACATATAAGACGTTGATAGATGGATAGCTTTTCCAAAAATGATATATAACACTACATTATGTTAACAGATATCAGACAACCGGGGCGATCTCTATGGAAATTCAAAATTTACCCTGTCTGAAAATATTTGCATTGAAAATAACCAAACCTAATTTGTAAGACATCGATTGTCCATGTCTTTTATTAGATTAGTACATATGATTAACCCGTTGTTGTTGCAACAAAAAACATGTGTGCAATGTACATATTTGAAATTATTGAGAAAATATCGAAATATTTTTCATTTTTTGGGGTAAATTTTAGGGGGTATGGGTGTTTTGTGTCATTTTAACAAGATTTATAATTGGTAAAACATCTTAAACTTACATTCAAAATAACAATATAGGTCTAAGCTTTCCATAAATACTACTATAACAACTCATCATGTCTTAAACGTAACTCTGTCGTATACAAAATGTTTATGAACATGGACAATGAAATGGCACAAAAAGTGGGGCATAGTGTTAAGTAAGACGTAATTTTCAAGACTTTGCCCTATTTAGATTTTTCTAGACTTTTGATATGTTATCTTCTGTATAAATAAGTGCAAGAAAAACACAAAATAAACTTTGTTGGAATTATGTATGGGTTGAGCCCTTTTTTGTCGTAGGCTGACTGGTCTATATGTCCTAGCAAAATTGAAGGCTCAGAGTACGCCACCTTGTTGACGAGCCGAGAAGACTTGCTTGATCCTTTGATGAACATAAGAAGAATTTCGCGGTCACGTAACGGTAAAAAATGACAGACTTTGAAGTCGGGTGCCTCTCCTTTGTAATATTCATGTAAGGACAGGCATCAGTCTAGCGATTGGTCAAGTGGTTTTTTTTTTACTTGAGACCAATCAAACAGCTATCTGTGTGCCTGACATATATTCCAGGGGTGAGAGAGCGTGATGTGAGCGTAACCCCCTAGAGTATCGAGGATGGAAGATAACATAAAAGTACCCTTCTTATGAATCACTGAAAAGATAATATGAATATGTTGTTTCTTCAGTATGGCAATACTATACATTATATGATCTCGTAAACTTGGCATCCTTATAACAAGACCTAGATATAAATGTTTCACATTAAACGCTGACCCGGGTAAATCATCTTGTAGACAGTCATTCGTGTATTTGTGGACACCCTCATGCTTAGAAACACTGATATTGAAAAGAAAATATATCTCCGTACCAAAGTCAAAATTTGTAAAGTTACTACGCATTAGAAACAGATTTCCTGTAGAAAGTTAGGATAACTTATTCCTGAAAAGAAAACTATATATTGTGGTACTTATGAAAAATTAATAAAGATACAATACACAACATGTAATCAACAACAGGCAGTGTTCTGAGTGAAAGAACAACATGCGGGGCTAGACCGGGATTCGAACCTAGAACTTCAGATTAATGGATTGTCACTCTGACCCAATATTAACCCTTTCACCCCTAGGTAACTTTAGTAGACTCTACCATACATTGATCTGGATGAGTCTATTATGGTCTACAGTGGTGAAAGGTTAACACACAAATCCATTAGAATATACATATAGTATAGATAGCATAGAAGTAGATTACACTTGACCGATTACAGGTCCATCCTCCTCGGTTCTAATCACTACTAATTAGACAAGTCTTCAATATAATCTGGACATTTAGAAGACAATAACGTACTTAAATTTGGTTTTCTCAGACAAGTCTGATTGTAGGCTAAATACAAATGTTTATATATATACATGTAGTTCTCTTAATCCTATTATCTTATAAAAAGCGCTTGTAAAAGAAATCATGGTGTATCTTTCAATAATCAAAAGTGCATATTTTTACCGAAATTGAGCTTCTTTGAAGCTTTATTTAGACGACCACGAACCGCTTCAAGAGTATGTTTTGAACTTCAGCAAGTTGAAACTGAAACTTTTGTCTTGGAATATCTAAATTGCACTGATATAATGTATGTCATACTGCATCAGTGCCAGGTAAACAAATGATATTGTATTATCTTTATTAAGAAATTGACATTTTATAAAAAAATAAACTAGTTCACAATGGAAAATAAGTTCTGTAGTTTGAATATCAGTTTTTTTCTTTTGATTTCATTATATCAGAGACGTATATATTACAGTGTAATATATACGTCTCTGATTATATCCACATCATTTATGTAACTATATTGGGTTGTATCTAAAAATTTAAAGACATCGTTTGTGGAAATAGAATATCTTTACATTAAATAAAAACATTCAGCCGATTTTTATAGATATTAAATGTATCAATCCATACATAAAATGTAATAAATTAACACGGATGCAACAAATTTGACGTTGATTTCGCTCCATATCGACAGTAGCGGAATTCGGTCATTAGTCTCACCCTGATCAAGAGTTACTTCCCCTTACAGCACCGGCAAAGATGGCGATGGTTGGAACAAAGACTTTCGGCGATATGCCGAACAAATTCCAGATCGAAGAAGGAGGAGAATATTATTATGTTGGGTCTGAAGTAAGCATAATGCGATGTTTTGTCAGTTGCATGGGTTCTTGTTTTACAGGGAAAACATTTAGTCTCGGGACACAAAAATAATGGCTCTGTTGTCGGTTGTGTGTGTTTATTTTGATGTTGTGAAAGCCAGACTTTGTTGATAAGTCTACCAATGAAATTGTATAGGTCAATTTCTTTCTGTAATATACTTCCTAACAGTAACATTGCCTTTAATATCTCCCTTATAAGTAACCATGAGAAATCCATCAAATGTTTAAAAATGGGCATGCCCACAATTCGAATTTGTTTATAAATAAATATAACTTACTGATCATAACGCGTGTAGGATTGTGCGGGGTACAGACGTTTTTGTCTGTTCGTTCGCTTCGGTCACAGGTGTTTGAAATGCTGGTATGCTTCGGTACTAGCACAGGGGTTCGTTACAAATTTCTGAAATACACATGCTATACTGATATGGGTCACAGCACCCATATCAGTATAGCATATGTATCAGGTTTGGGAAACCACCAACTTGCGTATAATACGCAAAGTCGCCTATTATACGCCAGTTGGAGTATGGATTAGTTACTAAAAATAACCCAAATCGCTTTAACAGTAACTTTTGCACGATATTATTAAAAATCGCATCAATTTACGACAAGGTTAATAATATTTTGCTAAAAGATGTTTACTGAAAGTGTTGGCTACTTAGAAACTTGATGTAACTTTACCAGAAGTATTGCATCTAATTATGGTACTTTCCCACATGCAAATAAAATTTAATTTTGCATTTGTTTTATGTTTCATGACTGAATAAATGCGACTTGGACAAACAATTTGAAAAGGTTTAGATTAAAGTTATTTTGGCTATTTTAAGTAAAAAATCCATACCCCTATTAGCGTATTATACGCAAGTTAGTGGTTTTCCCCCGACCTGTTTATATGTGTATTTCAGACATTTGTAACGAACCCATGTGGTACTAGGGAGCAGATAGTCAGAACGTCTTCCAAATGGTCTATTTTGGGGGAAAATGCTAAAATTAAGGTTTTCTTGTTTACTGGCGCATGTCTTTTATATCCATGATACATTGTTGGAAAGGTAATATCTATATCTTCGCAAATGCACCGATACATTTTTTGAAAAGAAGATTTCATACCATAAAAAACATTTTTTTAAAACCGAGTTCTAATGTTGTCATCAGTTTTGCAGGTAGATGGTTTGTCACTTCACTGAAAGTGATGTCACCCCTACTAACCTGTCTTGTTGACCCCTAAACAATTACCATATTGATTAAAGACGAGTCAGGATCAACATTCATACACGAAGCATATATAAGAATAAAATCTATTGTTTTAAAAAATGATCAGGATCACCCAAAATAGAGAAACAGTCATCGCCATAGGATGTGCAAGGCTAGAAATTAATTTTGAATACCACTAGTCAATTGGGGTAGTAGTTTCCAAATTTTGTTAGTCCTTGTGCAGATTAATTCAACTTACCAAACATTCAACAATATCAAATTTTGACAAATCACTCAGGCTAGCGGTTTTAGGAACCACTTGTCCAAGCTGGAGATTGTGCTAGTCTCAGACTATCGGGCTACCCTTATTGTCTAGATCTGCAGATGTGTGCTCGGTACACATTTTAAGAAACAACATTTGCGCATGCATGGTAGTTAATGCAATTGACCAGTATCAGTATTTCACATAAATGTCAATGTGACATGTCATTTTTTCTGGCTTTCCCGCAGGTTATGTTAACGTGATGCAATATCAACAAAAAATGTCGTAATTAATAATATACTCATGATCACGATCAGTAGTTGGTTTGTTTTCACATCAATTTTCACGAAACCTTCACAAGTGGTAGCTTACTGCCTTTCCTCAATCTGAATCAAGGGAGTTAATTCATGCACAACTTATTATAGATTTACTAAAAGAATGGCAAGTTTCCAATTCAATTATTATACGTTCCTGATTATTATACGTCCCTGACAACAGTGTTCTCTCCAGGCTGTTTTTGCAGCATGGCACCATATATGCTCTTATAATTTCTTGCCATGCTGCTATCCTAGATCTTCTCTGCTATATATTCATATAAAGTTACCCTGCTGCTTTGATTTTACATAGAGTGCTGCTATAACAGAAATATTGAAATACCATGCTTCTTTCAAAACATTCTGGGTAGAACACTGCCTTATTGTATACAGGGCGATATTTCATCCATTTACGTGAAATTATATTTGACCAAATATTATAAACAAATAAATATGGTGATCCAACAATCCTTATGAAGAAAATAGCAGAAGCACTCTTGGGCGGATTTGTGAGTGGATTCACTAGAACTTCTCTCACTAATAAAAAAATAAAAGGATACTCAATCCCGCGAGAATTTAATTCAGTCTGATGATGGCTTCAATATGGGCCATAACAGTAGACGAAAAGTAAAGATCCACAACATGTTCTTGTGGTGTTGAGTATCCTTTACTTTTCACTATGTTAAATTTTATAAATGTACTTTATAATATAGGAAAATGAAAAACATTCCCGAAAATGTCCGTAATTAACAGACACTTTTTCAAGTAAATTGCTATTGGTAACATATAGTCAGGGTATGGGATGCTTTGACCAGAAAAAAAGGATAAGGAGCTTAATACCTAGGCAAATACGTTTTGAACTTGAACATGTAAATGATTCGTGATTTTTTTAGGCAATTCCAAACACTAGTTAACCATCTAAGACATATTAATTGACTTAAGCTTGTGGAAATCTTCAAAGCCCTGCAAAGTTTCTAATAGAGTGATTCAGTATAATTTTAACTTTATTTTTGTAAGTGCAGTATTTTTTTATTATGCCCATTTCTTTTTGTTTTTCAGGTTGGTAATTACCTGCGTATGTTCAGGGGTTCACTGTATAAGAAGTATCCGTCTATGTGGCGACGCCTACTCACTGTCGAAGAACGGAAAAGAGTTGCAACTTTAGGTAAGTATTTGTGTAGCAATAATAATATACAACATTTGATATAGCGCCCTATCTACGTAGAATAAGCCACTCTAAAGCGCTTTACAGTACATAGATAATAAACCATCAATACAATTAGCATATACATTTAATAATCAATACAATTTTTGAGGAATTTTCAGGAGCTGCCTTATCAGGCACTTACTACTAGTCCTATGCCATCTGGCTAATATCTCCCTATGTGTGTATGCATGTGTGTGTGCTGGAGATGTATTGTGTTCCGTTTGTAGTGGGACCGTACTTCCAGGAGTATCATTTATAGTGCCACCTCACTTGAATGCTACAGCACAGATACCGCATCATCCACCGCAGACCATTTTATAGTCCACCTGGGTTGTTGGAGTTGCGTGAGCAGGAGAAAAAACACTTTCTCTGAATATTCCATGCATACGACGACTTCGGGGTTGTAAAATGTAATATGAAATCAAAAGACTTCTTAAGTATAATATATGGCTTTTGTAAGAACACTAATTTTGAAAATTCTTTATATAAGAAATTAATTGAACTTGAGATTGCTTCATTACAGTGTAAGTTGAAAAAATATTTGAAAAATAAGAATGACACAAAAACTGTATGAAACATGAATTCTACAGTACATATTGTTTATTTTGACTTAATTCCATTTTTTGTTTGTCTCCTTAGGTACTGGTGCCCCCGCCCTAGCCACCAACATCACCTTGCTGAAGGCTGTGGAGGTTGACAACATCCTAGAGGGCAACGATGACCAATACAAAGCCGTGTCCATCAGCAGTGATACCTCTTATTCAAGGTGATTATCTCCCCTTTATTGTTCATACCTCCCTTGTATAGTAGGTTGGGGCCTGTTAGATTTATGCTTTGTCGACATGCAGGTAATATTCTAGAGGTAAAGCCTCTCACAAATACCAAGATAGGTGAGATTTAAGCCAATTTATGATCCTGCCTGATAGCGCACACAAATTTCACGCTAGTCACAGGGTTTTGTACCGTCCCCATTCCCAATTTCGGTCTTTTTTTTCAAAATTCCAACATCTCCCCTTTATAGCTCTTAAAAACCTATAAAGAAAACAGGATTTAATTTCCTTTCCTCAAATAATATAGGAAAACCTAATAAAAGAAAGGCCTAGCAGAATATCTGAAATGTGAAAAGGGACATCCTAGGTGAATTTACAACATAAATAAATTTACATGTTTGAACTAACCTGTCATTCACAGGGACGCGAAGGCGAAGAGGAACACCTGGGTGACGACTGTGCCTAGTAGTTCTCATCACCTCGACGCTGTGCCATGCTCGACCTCCATCAACAGGAACCGCCTCGGCAAATCCAAAGTCCGCACATTCCCTCTTTGGTAAGACACTCGAGGAAAACAACAACCTGGATCTACTGTATTAATAATACCATGGGTACTGCATATATGCACAGTGATGTTTCATTTTAAATTTGTTTTTCAGTCTTGATAGTAAATCCAAAGAAATGTTGTTGGTTTTTGTGGGGGGGGGGAGATAAATGATGTTAAATACATATATGTAAAAAAAACACCCATATAATTCAGAACTGTTTTACCTCAAATCTCATCTTACTTTCTTTTTTTCTCTCCATGGATTCAGAATTTCAAAATATTGTCTATCTTCAGAATGAAAGAAAAAAGACGCTGCCAGTTATAATGCATTAATGCAGTTTTTGATTTCCCTACCTCTTACTAAGTTTCATATTTTCTTCCACGGATGTGATATGTATATAATATTAAGACTGAATATAAGTAATATTAAGACTGAATTATCTCTGAAGTATTTTAGGCCTTGAATTTTTCATCTATTCCCAAAGCAACCTAAATCCTTTTGCTCAGAATGGACTCTATTTCTTATTTCTTTATTTCATCGATTCACAATTCCATATCACATGTCACAGAGATTAATATTGGCTTTTTTTCTGTTGCAGTTTTGATGACACAGACTCTCCACCAAGCCACGAAAACGCCAGTCTGCCCGAACAACTGGTGCCAATTCGACTGGACATGGAATACGAGGGACAGAAACTCAGAGACTGCTTCACCTGGAACAAAACTGGTAATCAATTTGGTGACGTAAAAAGCTGTGGTCCTTCCCAAACTTTACTGGATTTAACGTGCCCTGATTGGTTGAGAGGTCAAGAGTGTTTGACAGTTTTGTTAAACCCTGGAATAGGCCTGAGGTTGACTCCTGGCATCAGAGGGCAACTTTTGTTGAGACTTCTAAACAGAGTTTTAAAAAGATTTGTATTGATGTTGTTTATCTCAGGGCAAGCCATTGTGAAATTATTTAATATCTGCATCAAATAATTGTTATATTTCAATATTGTATGTTAAATAAAAAGAAACAGAGAGCAGTTTAAGAAATTATTTGAGTAAAAAATTGTTAACTAGAAAGAAATATTACTAGATAGTTCCACAGGTTGTTATTTTAAAAAGAAAAAATGTGAAAAAAAACAAATGTCTAAAAGTCAATAATTTAAATATAGGAAGTATAAATTCAAAATTAATTTAGAAAATGATGCTTTAATACCTCTCCGTTGATGTTAGATTGTTATTCTTTTTTTTTTAAATGCTTAGGGTGCAATATGGACCGCACCATCACAAGGGTGCAGAGAATGTAAATGAGCATAACCCTTGGAATGTTGAGGACGCTGTCTTTGCTGAAATTCAAGTCGAGTAGACCTGAGAGATGTAGAATAGACAATGGTGACATAACCATCCCTGTTCGGGTTGGTAGATTAGAAATTAACATCTGTCTCATTTACGTCGTTTTCTTTTTCAGAGTCGCTGATCACCCCTGAGCAGTTTGCAGAGATCATGTGTGACGACCTTGACCTGAACCCTATAAACTTTGTACCGGCCGTGTCTCAGGCGATTCGTCAGCAGATTGAAGCCTTCCCCACAGACAATCTGTTAGACCAACAGGCTGATCAACGTGTTATACTAAAGGTACATTTTGCTGAAGCTGTCATAGCAATGATGATGCTGAGGCAGTGGTTTTTTTTGTCAATTAAGTAAAAATCCCAGGTTTACAAGAAAGTTTTTTTTACTCATTTTATTGGAATAAATCCCACGTTTTTTAAGATTATAATATGACTATACTTTCTTGTTAATTATTAATAAATGATTCATTAGACTTTAATTATTTTAAGATTTCAGCAATATACTGTAAAAATATTTAATGTACATGTAGCTCTCTCAAAGTTTAGCACATTGTTCAATTTGACTTGCAAGCACAATGCTGAATAAGCCCACCCACAATATATCCAACAGAAAATAATATATAGAAATTAAGGTTAGCACAAAAGTTAAAGTTTAAGAAGGGAAAATAGATATTAGTTCTAAATATGTATGCTTTCAGTATAAACTAGACAAGAAGAATGTCTTAACCACATACTGTATATTTACCATAATTAGCGCCGTTACCCCTATTTTGGGAGAAAATTAAATTGTGTATACCCCTCCCCCTCCCAGACTTGACCAGGCCTGGTCAGTGATTTATATATTTAGTGCCAGCAGAAATTTACAATTGTAGGCCTGTTGATCATGGCTGGACTTCCTTTTAAGTGGTTGAAACATTTGATTTCTAAAACTCAGCCACACTGGATTGTTTAATAACATAATGTCTTTTCAGTGATAACAATGGGTAAAAATACATAACTTTTTCTATCATATTTTACATTTCATTATCCTAATAAACATCCCCTTTCATGCCAAATTTTGAAACATTCGGGAGTAAATTACGGCATTTATTTTTTATTTTTTGTTTGTTTCACAATTATAACTTTAATATACTATTATCCATATTTTGTAAAGCGCTTTAGTGTAATTTTACAAATTATATAGGGTGCTATATAAATGTTGTTTTTATTTATAATTAATACATATAATATGTAGGGAGAAAAAGAAGAGCTTTATGAAAACTTGATATTAACTGGTATGTGATATTAGCAGACATGTGATATTAACTGGTATGTGACATTAGCAGACATGTGATATTAAGTGGAATCCACTGTATATATGTAATGGTGTCTATTTCAGCTGAACATACATGTGGGGTATATGTAATGGTGTCTATTTCAGCTAAACATACATGTGAGGTATATGTTATGGTGTCTATTTCAGCTAAACATACATGTGAGGTATATGTAACGGTGTCTATTTCAGCTAAACATACATGTGGGGTATATGTTATGGTGTCTATTTCAGCTAAACATACATGTGGTGTATATGTTATGGTGTCTATTTCAGCTAAACATACATGTG